ATAATGAATTAGGCCTGTTAATATTTCACAAAATAATTTATTAAGATTCTTAAAAAAAAGCGTTCGGCTTTTTTATAAAGTTTAACATGATAATAAAATACATGCACTAAACAGTCCTATAAAAATTGGTTCAATGTCTGAGCACTTTCAAGACATACAAGCAGTGGCGTCGAAACCAAATTTTTGATGGGTGGGGCTGTTTTTTTTTTGATAGACAGCCAGTGGGCCCGTTGTTTTTTTTTTTTTAGAGATTTAGCATATTTTTAAGGACTTAATTAATATAATAAAATATATTATAAACGAGTTTGATAAATATTAAATGAAAATCTCTATGTTTAGTTTTTAGTGGAAACAAAAATTTATTTTAGAATTAAGAAGTTCAAATTTTTATCTAAATAGCTAAAACTCAATTTCAGTTGTTTAAGTCAATTAAATCACATATTTTTATAGGAAAGTTCATAAATATGCCTTAAGGCCAAATGTTGCTTAAATAAATACTTGCTTGAGGTACACATATAAAAAGCAAAAGTACGACACAAGTGCAATTTATTGATTGTTTCTTTTAATATTGAAATATTAAGAATGGATTCAAACTCCTGTCTATTCAATAATGATGACTGTTTAAACAAAAGCCAAGAGAGAATTTCAGGAAATTACTACTAATAATTCATTTCAAATTCACAAAACAAAAACATGTTAATATAATCCTGACTATAATTATTGATAAAAACTATTATATTAATCCTTCCAACTACATCAAAATACATGGTAATTATACAATATGCATAAAAAATATGAAAAAACTTACTTTAGAATATTTGGAGAAGCAAATCTTTCTGAACACACCTTGCAATTAAAAGGCAGTTTCTTTTTCTTTATTTTTTTTGCAACCGGTTCAGCTTGATTAGAGGCCATGATCGATTTATTTCTTAAAGCCAATTTCTTTTTAATGAAAATCTGCAAATTATATATTTTTAATCAAAATGTTGTAATATCTTTTAAAATCAAAAAGTCATATTAAAATTACTTTTCAAGCACTGCCAATTTTCTATTCCTATTGCGTTCTCGTTTATTAGGCTTCCAAGAATTTCATTTTAACCTTAACTCTCTTTATTAGTGGCTTGTCATCATCTTCATCATTTGCTAAGCAAATCAAACCAAAAACAAATTAGCTTGATTATATATCGATAAATATACTTGATTTCTACAGAGACTATTAAATATCATCTAAGCAAATTGAGCCTAATTTAAAAGATAAATTTAATTTCACCTTTAAACTTTATCACATATTACATTTTTTGACACATTCATAATTTAATATATAATATAATAAGATATTTAGTATAGAAAAATATTGTATTTTACCTTCAGGTGCTTTATATTTAATTTTACTTTCTTTTTTTATTGGTGTTATTTTTTTGTTTACTTCTTTATTTGTAGATGAAGATGGTTGAAAAAATACTGGTCCTGCTACACCAAGAATGCAATCTAACTGATTGTCCGCAGTTCCAGTCTAAGTTTAAATTATAAATATTAATTTGTGCTAAATTAGTTGATGATATTTAATACTTACAGAAACAACCATTCCAACAGGCTGTGGTTTATCTATAGATATACCCAAAGCCTTGTGTAGTCTTATATTAGTTTCAGAACACATAATTCGGAATTCATAGAAATCATTCAATTTGTTTAAGCAAATAACACAAATAAGTGGTGGCAAATTATCTCCATATTTTACCTGTATTAATGATTAAAGATGCATGTATTGTTATTGTATTACACAAATATCTAAATAAATAAATAATATATGAATAAAATATATTTATATATAGACAGTTCTATTTAATTATTTACTACTCTATATATTTAATCATAAACTCAGAAAAAGTTGTTTAATAAATAAAATCGATGTTAACAAATTAAATTAGTGCGATAAATATAGATACATTAAATAGAAGTTATTTTATTTTGTGCTTAAAAATCAATCATTGTAATATATAATCTGACAAGGCAATGCATCTTATAATTATTGTATCAAACATGCTTATGAAATGCAACTAATAAAAATATTTTTCTATGTTTACCTCAATGGATAAACAGTCTTGAATTTTTTTGTTAATTTGTATTTCATTACTTTCATCTATGCAAGTATCATCGCCTATTGTCATTGTTTCCTGAATGATAGGAACCCGATTTCCACCTATTATCCCACACAATCTGCAAGATTGTAATAAATCATGTTGAGTTTTTCTTAATTTGGCTTTTGTTGCCGATTTCTTTGCCTTTGGCATTTTAGGACCAGGCAAATTTCTTATTTTTATTTGATTATGACATTTGAACAATGTCAAGTCAATAATAATTGGTTTTCATGTTGTGAGCACTGGACTTTTGTTGATACGAGTGTTGCCCGATGATATAAGAAAGTATTCAGCTTTTGTTGCCAGATCAGAAGATCGTGTTCGTGTCGAAATCTATTAACACGTGGCAATAGCTCTTTCTGATAAGAGTCAATGCACAATGGGAATCCGTGTGTGAGCCCGAGCTTCAGTGTGGCAGTATTTTCGGTGGAATAGTGACGGTGTTTTGACAAGAGGGCGTTCAAATTGTATTTGACGCAACTTTGACGTATGACAAATTTGTGGTTATAACTAAAATTATTAATTAAAAATGTTTAGTTGGTTATCTAAAGAAGGCGAAAAGCAGCAATTGTACGATAATGTTGTGGAAGGTCTTAAAAAGATATATAAAACAAAGCTGTTACCTTTGGAACAGCATTATCAGTTTCACGACTTTCATTCACCCATGTTAGATGATCCAGATTTCGATGCGAAGCCTTTAATATTATTAGTAGGTCAATATTCCACCGGAAAAACTACTTTCATCAAATATTTATTAGAAAGAGAATTTCCTGGAATCAGAATTGGTCCTGAACCGACCACTGATAGATTTATAGCCGTTATGTATGATGATAAAGAGGGCGTGATACCTGGTAATGCATTAGTTGTTGATCCCAAAAAACAATTTCGGCCTTTAAGCAAATTTGGCAATGCTTTTCTTAATAGGTTTCAATGTTCTACTTTATCTTCACCTGTACTTAAAGGAATATCAATAGTGGATACGCCTGGTATATTATCCGGTGAGAAACAGCGTGTGGATAGAGGATACGATTTTACTGGGGTTCTTGAATGGTTTGCAGAGAGAGTGGATCGTATAATACTGCTGTTTGATGCACATAAGTTAGATATATCAGATGAATTTAGAAGATCAATTGAAGCTTTACGAGGCCATGATGACAAAATTCGCATTGTATTAAACAAAGCTGATATGATTGATCATCAGCAATTAATGAGGGTTTATGGGGCTTTGATGTGGTCACTGGGAAAAGTGCTTCAAACACCAGAAGTTGCTCGAGTTTATATAGGATCATTTTGGGATCAGCCTTTGAGGTATGATGTAAATCGGCGATTATTTGAAGATGAAGAGCAAGATTTATTCAAAGACATGCAATCACTTCCACGCAATGCTGCTTTGAGAAAGTTAAATGATTTGATTAAAAGAGCAAGACTGGCCAAAGTTCATGCTTATATAATATCTGAATTACGCAAAGAGATGCCTTCAGTATTTGGAAAAGATGGGAAGAAAAAGGAACTGATAAAACATTTACCACAAACTTATGAAAAACTGCAAAGGGAGCATCAAATATCTCCAGGCGATTTTCCAGATGTCAAAAAAATGCAAGAATGCTTACAACATCATGATTTTACAAAATTTCATCCGTTGAAATTAAAACTTCTTGAAGTAGTTGATAAAATGATGGCTGAAGACATTTCTAAGTTGATGGATATGATACCACATGAGGAATCAACATCTAAAATAGAACCACTCATTAAAGGTAAGTTATTATTATATGCCTACAATAAAGTAGTTTTCCTCAGTGATCCTAATTTGATTTGCAAACTAGTTATTTTTTTTATAATATAGGTTTTGAATTCAATAATTCATATATTCATTTTTCATGCATGTATGTATATATATATATATATATATATATATATTTCCACGGCCAATTTGTTAAATTGAAAAAGCAAATTGAATTTTAATTCTTCATTTATTTATATGTTTGGACCCTGGATGTGTGTTATCATTCAGTATATCAAACCAGTACAAACCAAACTACAAGCTTTGAAACAGTAAGCTTAACAAACAAATACATTACATACACATAAATATATTCATATATTGATTTATAAATAAAAAAAATTGAAATTCAATTTACTATTATTTAAACGGATTGGCTGCAAATCATTTCAAATATGTTTCAATATCAAAAAACTAACAATAGAAATAATAACATTTCATAAAATTAATAGCATATAATTATAAATTATATTTAGTTATCGTAAATTAAAGTGAACCTGCTTTCCCCTACATTTTTAAAAATTTTATATTTATTTTCTTTTCAATTCCTGCTTTTCCTACCACAAAATTCTTTTTAATTTTGTGGTAGGAAGGAAAAATTGAGGGTTGCATGCATGAATTTTTCAAACTCGTATTAAAAAAAAAAAATAAGAGAACTGATTTAATACATAAAAAATAAGTATTAAAATTGGACACCTCTTGATGAAATTAATTTTTTGTTATGAAAAATTAAGCTTTTTATAAACTCAAAAGATCCAGAGAAATTCAGTCAAAAAAGGTCACTGACAGAAATCGAGATGAAAAATGATTTAATTACTATTACAAAGGACCCCTTCAGGATGTTAATTATGTGTATAATTATAATTCTAACAAAATAAGAGTTTGTGGCAAGAGGGTGAAAAAATAAAATTGTGTTCTTTATATACGCATTATAAAAAAAAAAAGGGTGGCAAACTCTTTCCACTGCATTTCAATCAAAATATGCGAAAACCTGTCTGGGGATATACTAATAGTTTTTCAAATTTTCACGGCCATTGGATGCATAGGACACTGACATGACATACTTCCATTTTTATATATATATATAGATTTAAATGGCCCTTGATGTTTTGTTTATGTTTGCAAAATGCAAATGCAAAAAAATTGATGATTATTGTTAAAAGCTATAAAATGATTGTGTTTAAAACGTTGTATTGGAAGATACAAGAAAATCTGGGAATGATAATTGTTAAGATATTAATTCTAATAGAATATCGTGGTATATATGCTATAACAATAAATATAAAATTGTTTCGAAAAGCCAATTGAAAAATAAAATTGAAAACTTGAATTATATGCATATGCCTTTACCAGCTTACTGATTCAACAGCGTTTTGTCTTGACCTTAATAATTTAAGTATACCCAACAATTTCTATGGTCTTTAAACGTTTTATTTCTACGATTTTAACTTACAGATTATGTAGTAACATAATCTAAATGTTGAAATTAAAAATCATAAAATGATTTTATTAATATTTATGGTATTAATGAATATATTCTCGTTTTTATTAAAATTTTAGCGTTTCATACAAAGAAATTTAAAATTTTTAAAATAGTTTTAACCATTTTTGAGAACTAATCGAAGAAAGAAAAAATGGCTCACATACGCCCGCATACTTTTTCCAATTTTGGTCCCAAACGATTCAGAATTACTTTAAACGTCGAGAAAACATAAAATTAGCTTCTCGGATTTTTTTTGACAAAAACATAGTTAACATCCTGAATGAGATCTTTGTTTTTGCTGATCTTTCCATGACAATTAAATACATTTAGTATGATCAACAGTTTTATTTATTACGACATATTTTCGTAGAATCGTGATTTAACTTTTGTATTGAAAAATTAAAATATTAATATAATTGCCAATTAATATTATTGCTGAATGCTGTTAACGTTTTAACAATCACTAAAAGGTAGATTAAAAATTGTACTTTTTGTAAATAAAAATTATAATTCTTTCAAACTTTAACTTTTACTATTTGATCGTTGACTATTGTGCTCGTTGATACTTACATGACCGCACATACTTCTGATTCAGAGCATTTTGTTACTGTTTTAGAAAATTTTAGTGATCCCACATGTTTACATTCGCTGTGATGTGTTTCTTATTGTCAGTATGTGCACTTGTTTGCCGATAGACCAATAATTGTATTTATTGTTTTTGTGCGTTCAAATTGCTAAAGGGAACACTAATTCATACAGCAGTGAAAGACGGCCTTAATTGCAATCGGGAGATAACTTAAAACATGGATATGAAAATGCAAAAATAAAATGAATTCAAATATTTGTCTAGGTTTTCAATAAAGAATATTTGTGATAGTTCGTTGTATAGTACGAATTTTGTATAAGAAGAAACGGACACAGACCCGCATACATGCATTATCACTAAAATTTTAATATATATGAATAGAAAAATATAAGTAATATAAAGTATACCCCGATACGGGGTATACTTTAAATTAGTATAAAGGCCGGAGAAAGTAAATCACTTAGATTTTTGTTTTGACAAAAAATCATGAAATATCACCTGGGGGAGGGAGTGGTATGGTAAGATATCACGTGTATTTATTTTTTAACTGATTTTTTTTTAAATCAAACTTTCTCAAAAAAAATCAAAAATTTTAGTTTTTTCACGCAACTAAAAATACACGTGGTGTTTGGTGGGGGAGGGGAGGGTAATTTTGAATATTACCAAGGAAGAGGGGGTCCAAAAACCCTTAAAAACTCGCTCACATGATTTATGGACGCCCCCTTAGTTATAAATAATATAGTCCCGATCGCCGTGAATACAACCTCGTTTATTTGTATATTACGTCTTTATAAAAAAACGAATTATAAAAAGGGACCACTTTCGCGAATTTGCAAACTTTGCAGCTCTCTTGACGAAGTATAAATTGAGGCTCATGCGCCATGCCAATATAATAGGTTGTCAAATATCTCTCTTCCGCCTTTTTGTATTAAACCAAGAGCAAAAAGCGGAAGGGAGATATTTGACAACCTAATATTTATCATGCCCATCCGTTAAATTTCTAAGAATTTAAGCCAAACGTTTGCAGTTCGTTGCTATTTTAAAGTTTCTTTGATTTTTAAAGATTTTCAATATTTAAGATTTTTTTTCACATTTTACCTTATAATTTATGGTCTCAGTAAAACTGTTCTTGCTGGACATATAGCAAATATAATTAAGAATTTGTAATACTATATGACAATTGCGACCAAAGTACACCCTTGAATTACATCTACTTTAAACTAGTTGGTATTGGTATTTAGCCTTGAGGCAAGTTACATGAACTTCCCGATATGTGTAAATAATCGACTTAATCAATAAAAAAATAAATTAATTTATAAGTGATTAAAAGTATTTCGAGTGGATTTATTATACATAAT